CATTCCCTCAGTCAGCCACTGGGTTTCTAGTTTTTGCCCCACAGCCTTGCTTAAGTGCTTATCAGGAATCTTTAACACCCCACCCACCAAACCCAAGTCTCCAAAGCCCATGGCGGGTACAGATCTGAGAACTGAGGTCAAACTTAGCTGGGGCTGGAGGTGCCATCTGTCATAGGTCTCAGGTTGGAGGAGTGTCTTGTATGACAGGGCCTGATTTACGGAGGAGGTAGCCATGAGGGGATTCGGTGAAGACTCCACTGAGGAGCCCCTTGTTTTCCGGCTGGGAGGAGATGTGGGGGTGAACCTGTGAGTACCTGACAGGTTGAACTCCTGGGATGGGTCGGGACTCGGGTTTATCCGTGCCTTGGAGGTGTGGTGGCCCTGAAGGCAGGAAGCCCCCCTCCCTCCGTGGTTTGTGGGAAAGACCTGCCCATGGCTTCCTGCCCTGACCCAGCCCCCTGGGCTAACTGGAGAGAAGGAAGTGTCCTGGGGCTGGGGGCTGGGTGGAGCTTTGGGTCCTCTCCCGTCAGCCCTGGGGAGACCTCTCCTCAAAGAAGGAGCCGAGAAGTGGTGGGAAGCTTTGGCCCTCGAAGGTTTCCATTTACTTTAAAAGCAACCTGAGTGTCCCAGGCCGGACCCCACACAGTCGTCACCGTCCACTTCACAGGTGGGAAACCCAAGCTGGTAAACAGCCATCCCACGTCACCCTCAGGACGTCTCCGGTTTGCTGGCGCTAGCGGCCCTCTGCTGCCCCCTGCTGGCCTTATGGAGAAATGGGTCCCGCAACATTATCAATAGACCCACGCTGAGACACCAGGCTCCATGGGCAAAAAGAAGCCAGGCTTACGGATATGGGGCATGGAGGTAACAAGTAAACCGTATACAGAATAGACAGCCTGTCTCCCCTATCACCCCTGCCAGCAAGGAGGAACTCCTGAGGTCCCTCTGTGCCTCCTCACTGTTCAGAGCTGCAGTCTGGGAAGGGCAGTGGGGCCTGACCTGGCAGCCGCCACGGATGCCCATCCTAGGCGCTTCCCACTTGTGCTGTCTCAGCACCGTTTTGAATATAAACCTAACTTTCTTAGGCCAGAATTAGGGCACGCTCATCCTCAGCAGTTTCCCAACCCTCCACGTGGCACATCTATTTGTGTCTGGTAAGCACTCCTGGCTAAACAGTGTGCTGAGCATCTCACCCACGTGCAAGGCGCCGAGAGGCTGTGTGACCACCTCTCAGCGCCCCTGCAGCTTCAGCTTCCTTGTTCTAAGTGCAACTAAAACTCTGAGAGAAACCTGTTTGGAGGACACCCCGGGCCCCCCAAAAGCTTGGTCCATACCTGTCCCCACCTGCACGCTGTGTGTGTGTGTGTGTGTGTGTGTGTGTGTGTGTGTGTGTGTGTGTTACTCCCAGGCTCCACAAAGCAACATTCGATCTTCACTTCCACGGTGTCTCTCCTAACCATTGAAGGTGCCCAACATTTTCCTGTTGGTTTGTTTGTGTTTTAGACAGGGTCTCATGTAGCTCAGGCTAGCCCTGAATTCACTAGATAGCCAAGGATATCCTTGAATTCCTGATTCTCCTGCCTCTGCCTTTTACATGGTAGGGGTTGCATGCGTGTGGTTACTCTCTATTATTTATTTTACTAAGACAAGGTCTCTATAGCTCTGGCTGGCCTGGAACTCCCTATGTAGACTAGGCTGAACTCGAACTCACAGAAATCTGCCTATCTCTGCCTTCCAAGTGCTGGGATTAAAGGTGAGGGCTTCCATGCTTTGCTATTGCCCTTCTAGCAAAGGTCACTTCATCAGCGAGTGCCTTGTCTCTAAGGGACAAAGAGAGCTTTCACGAGGGTAGTCTAGCAGGGAAGTCCCCCTCACCCTCTTATCAGGGATCCTCTGTTTTTGGTTTGTTTGTTTTTGTTTCTTGAGACAGGGTTTCTCAGTGTAGCCCTGGCTGTCCTGGAACTCACTCTGTAGACCAGGGTGTCCTGGAACTCACAGAGATCCACCTGCCTCTGCTTCTGTGCCACCACCACCCAGTGCACTAGACTCCTTTTAAAAATATCTAAGTTGCCGGTCGGTGGTGGTGCACGCCTTTAATCCCAGCACTCAGGAGGCAGAGCCAGACGGATCTCTGTGAGTTCGAGGCCAGGCTGGGCTACCAAGTGAGTTCCAGGAAAGGTGCAAAGCTACACAGAGAAACCCTGTCTCGAAAAACCAAAACAAACAAACAAACAAAAAAATCTATGTTAAGTTTTGCTGTTGGGCTGCATGCTGCATCTTGGAGCCTTGAGGTCATTGCCCACCCTACACAGATGGGATTCTGCTAATGGAGCAATGTCCCTCTTCTAAATGAGTGACTGATCCTGCTTCCCCATTTGTACGTGGGAGGAGGGCCAACCTAGTGGTGACCTGATGGGGACCAAGCTTCCTTCAGTGTTCCCAGAGGGACAGTGGAACACCGTGGGTACTCCTCTGCACAAATCTCCCAATTGGGGGCGCATATTTGGAGTCCCCTGGGAGAAGTATAGGGTGCCCAAGTTCTCCCCAGGCCTCGGAAAGGTGTGCACCTAGATCCTAGTTCAGGTGCGGACCTTGGGAGCACTGCATTCCCGCCGGGTGGGCCGGTCGAGCAGAGAGGCCTAGCGCTATGCGCAGGTGCAGCGGGTGCCCGGGCGCCCCCTGGCGGACACCCGAGCGCCGAGACGCCTTGAAGCGGGGGCGGCGGGCGCGGACGCGAGCGCGAGTCTCGGTAGCTGCG